TTTTTTTCTGCGGGAACTCTGACTTTCCTCCTCCACCAAAACCTGGCACTTCCTTAAACGACCATAGCTGTTAATAGGACGTAAAACACAAACAAACCAAGCATTAATCAAATGTTTTTAATGTTATCACAGAGTTCTGTCCCCTTTCGTTACGTGTTGACGGATCCTCCACGAAAAGTCAAGAATGGTGGAAAAGAAAAGGGAGATAAATCAAAGGAAAAAACCAAAGAGGAGGAATATGCTGAAGCTCTGAGAGACGTGAAGATCAGCTGGATACCAAAGTTAGTTACTTATTGTGTCACCAGTTAAAACTAAGGACATATTTCTGTTTGTTCAATGTTTAAATACTTGAAAAAAAAGCTGTACTCAGCTAACACTATTACTATCTTACATCAATAATTGAAAAAGAAAAACTTCGGTAACAATATTTTGAAAATTGTGTAATTGTCATGGATCAGTTGTACAAAACTTGTTAAATTGGTTTGATTCTAATTTTATTGACAGGATAATCTACTGTTTCTTTTTCTTACTATTATGACAAATATTCACTGTATACAGGGAAACTTTCGCCCAGGCAAATTTTTGTCTCCCTACGCTGATGCATTTTAAAAATTTCCCGGTTTACAGTATATAGTGTTTTCTATCATATCAAACATGAGTCCAGCATTCTTGATGTTTGTTTACAGACTTGATTTGGATAATGTCCTGTTTGAGGAGGTGAGCCATGATCATCCTAATCACCTTCCTCTCTACATGGCCAGACTTCAGGCCCTAGACAGCAGCAAGGTCAGTCTGTACCACTGTAATAAAATAATATAAACTTTATTTATTTAACAACAATTATGGAACAAGTTAGCTCAACTTATGTCAATCACTCTTGTTGGCCCAGATGTTAGTGCGTCTTAATGTGGGAGGAAATTGGAGTACTCAGAGAAAACCCACATGGTCGGGCAGGTGACCCTATACCTTTTCATGCCCAATCGGCGAATCGAACCTCGGCCGCCTAATTGGTGAAGGCGAGTGAGCTATCCACTGCGCCACCCGACCACTACGATATACTGTTTATCACCACATTTTCATTAGGATTCAGTTTTTCTATGATTATTGATTAATATTGATTAGTCTGGACGATTTGTGAATTGATTAATAATATTTTTTTCGATGTTTATGTATTTTATTTCTATGAAATGTTTTCAAGAGATTTGACTTAAAGTCTCTCATTGTAGAACAGTCATTTATATCTGAACTCTTTGTTTGTGATTAGAAGTATAAACAGTATATTTCCAGTTAAGATGGACAAACCTATCAATGCAACATTCAGCAAGTTATACAATTAGCTAATGTGAAATCTACAAATCCACAAACCTCTCCAAAAACATGTTTATTAAAGGAACCAAATGTTTTGCTTTACTAAATTTCAAACGAATGCTTATTTTTTTGGAACCAAAATTTCCCCCAAAAAATATTCCAAAAAATATTACTTTGTTGGATGATTATCCTTATTCTTGGGAACCAGATTTCAGTTGTTGGAATCAGTTTTGTGTCATTAACCTAGTGAATTGTTAAAGACCAAACTGAGATGTTTAATTAAATTTTGTTTTCTGTCCTCTTTCAGGAAAAGTCAAAGAAATTGGGAGCAATCATAGACTTATCCAAGTTTATTATCTCCAAAATTGACCAAATGGCTCTGTCGAGCTACTACGGGATGAAGAGTGACACTAGACCTGATGCTAGTACCATCAAAGTGTAAGGACTTTTCTTTAAGGCACCCTCTTCCTCCTTGGCTAGTATAATAGCCAGAGTAATTACTGTAACTGATCTGTTGTTCATGATATAAAGAGGTTACTTTAGATAATAATGAAAATATAGAGTTCATGATTTTACATTTCTAAGTATAGTACTTGGTGTGTTGCCTGTAAAAGACAATGAGCAGGGAATTCGTCTGTGAACTGTTGTAAGTCATTGAGGATGGATAGAGTTCATAAACAATTGTAAGATGATGTCTGTCAGATTGTGACAGAACATGAACAGTTAAATATAAAAGTTATGCTGAATTACAGATGTCAGAAAGCGCGTTGTCTTTCTCAGATCTGCATAGTATATAGTTTTCCATTGTGGAGAAGTTTTGTTGTTCTAAACAAGAAACAGTCATACGGAACATTCTAAACACCTCAATATCTCCCACAATTAATGAGTTTATTGTTTGATGTCCTCCACAGTGAGATGGATAAAGAGAAAGAGATTTTGATTGAAGCATTGGTTAAGATGGGCTGTGCCCAAGCCGACATCTTGCTGGATCAAGGGCAGACAACTGTGGAGCACACTCAATCGGAGGAGGAAGGTGAACAGTTTGTAGAACTACCCACTGTCACGGAGAAAGATCTAGAGGACAATCTGGCTGAAATACAGAAGTGGGCAGATCTGACTGATGCAAAGGTGAGGCAATTTTGATTTACAATTACCAGATTTCTCCCCAGAAAAAAATTGAATGGGTAATGCCAAAGTGTCTATTTTAGTTAAAATTGGGCAGCATTGGAAATGCCTAACCCTTACCATGCCATTTCTTCAAAATTCTAGTTCACTCTGCTGTAGATTGTTGAAGTCAGTAACAAACTGAGACGGAAGTACAATGACCTTTTTTGGTCCTGCTATTATTTTATGTAGTTAATAATCGATTCATGACGTATCAATGCCATTAACAATCAATACCTGAGCTTCATATGCAAATTAGAAATTTGTGGATGGTAAATCATGGTTATACAATCAGAATTTATTTTGATCAACCAATCAAATGCCGTGTTGCATCTTATATTGAATAAGTATGCTTATTTTATGGTTTGTTCTACACATCTACAATGTACAAAAGTTTAAATGCTCTTTGTTTTTAAATTATCTATTTTTAATGATCTTGATAACTGATATTTTTCCAGGTCTCCACTTTCTCTATTCGTCATGCAATTTACCACAAGCAATTTGGTCGTGCCTTGAAATTGTTGCTCAAACAAACAGAAGATAAAAATGCACAAGAAACCGACAAGAAATGTATAGAGGTAACTATATAATTGACAATTATATCATTGAATTTGATAAATTGGGATGCAAATGTATTACTAAAGTAATGAAGGTGTATGTCTTTCTGTCCACCCTTTCATTTTCTGAAATTATCTCTGAATTCAGAAAATCAAAATTTCCAAATATACTACACGGTGATAAAATGCTGTATGTAGATGTAACTTTGGAAATTATCCCTTTCATCACTGTAGACCATAATGGACTCCACTTGAGTTACATAGGGGTGAAAGAGTAAAAACATGCTAACCTAAAGGTCACAGTGATCTGACCCACTAGTGTTTAGTTTGATGTTATACAGTATTTGGTGGATACTCGACATAAATAAAAGGATAGAAATAGAACACTGATAATATAACATTTAAATTACATTGTATGGCCCAAACTGAATTTTCATTGATCATTGTGACTGTTAATTTTGGATATATCCTACATTAATAGCCTCAGTGTTGCATCTAGTTATATCAACTTCACTATTATGGTAGTCTAGTGGTAGGACGCATAGCTCGTGACTGAAGGGTTGTGGGTTCCAGTCACGATACGGCACTGTGTTGTAATTTTGAACGATACTTTACTCCGCTTGTTCCAGTCTACTCATCTGTAAATGAGTACTTGGTTGGGCAGAGCTGGAATTGTTGAATGCTAGCTGGGAGCGCCGAAATGGCAGCAATACCTGTATGTTCAGGAAATTGAAAAAGATATTGTCTTGCATGTGATGATGGATTGTGTATAAGATTGGTAGTAGGTGTGACTGACTTGAGTTATTTATGTGTTTTACAGATGTACACTTCCTTAGGATGGGATCACTGTGCCCGTCACTTCAGCAACTGGTTGCTGGTGAAGTACCCTGCCAACTATCGTCCATTTTGATAAATGCTGATACTTTAGACACCAACCATTAGAAAATCACAGTTCTGGAATAGTTTCAGCCTGAGACTGGTGAATGCTACATATGTGTGATAAGTCTTTAAGAAGTGTAGTCTGAGAATTGACCTCTCAGAACCAGTTATTGCAAACTCAATTGATAACTTGATGTTTTTAAATTTCCGAAAGTATCTGTAAAAATTAAACTTTCTTTCATATTTTAATGTTTTTGGGGATTATATATTGAAGCCAAGAATTTTGGAATCAATTTTTTACATATCATCTACGTTAAAAATACTTCCTAGACCTGAGTGCTGCACATCAATCTAAAAGTAACAGACTGTGACACACTTGTAGATTAATTGGGATTCACATATTATAAACTGTCTAATGACAGTAAATCACCATATAGCAGGGTGTTTTTTCTGGGAATGAATTGTATTTGTTTGACCACTGGACATTTAAGTTGGCAAAAATTTGAATTACAACTGAAAAATGAAATATAGGAAAAATTGTCAACCTTGTTCATCTAGCGTTTTACAGAACGTAAATAAATGTTGATCTTTTAAAAGCTAGAATACAATGGACCTAATTACCATTTCATTTTTTAACATAGTTACCAAATATGTTTATATATATATTGCAAAAAGTAAGAATTAAAGCATCTTGTAGATTACCAAAATTTAAATAAATTACTAATGCATAACAAAATTATTTGATGAGAAATGGCCAAAAAACCCTGCTATATGGTATATCTTACAAGTATATATAATTGTATAAAAAAAAAAATGGAACAAAAATAAGTTTGTTATGAAATACCAAGGTTACATTTGCGTTTACCGGTTGAAACTGTACAGGTGGCTGATAAATTTTCCACAATAAACGAACGCAGTTGGAGTGTTCTATAAGCAGAGCTAAAAATGCACAGTGTCGGAGAATAAATAACAATGTATCTAGAACCTGTTTAATTTGAAATATTAAGTATTATTCTAAAAAGTCACAAAAGGTGAGTGGTCTCTTTATATATTTGATCAACAATCAGAAAAAAATATACAAAACAGGCAGTTTCTCAATACTGGTATTAAATTAGAATTCAGGTTTCCTTATTTTGATAATCAAACATATCTTGAAGTTCACTAAAGAATATTCTCATCCTCCTTCAGCATTTGTATATTCATAATAAGGATTTACAATTATTTAAATTTTATATCTTTTACATGATTGAAAATAAGTTGTTGTTTTTTTGGTGTTTTCTGCTGCCAATGGTCTTAGGTTCAGAGACTTTTTATATTCACCCATCATTTTCAATGAGGGCAGATTTTTTGATTATGTAATGGCATTTACTTTCCATAGTTTTGGGAAGAAGATGTGTTTTTTTCAATGAACACATCACTTTATTTTGACACAAACTAGATTTCTAGCCTACTATTTTAGTGTAATTAATTGCCTTTAATGAAAAATTGGTTTATATTGAACCCCAGACGACTTGTAAAAATAGATAACTGTAAGCAGTATTTTATGTTTAGTAGACAATTATGATTCAGGAAACAGAACAATAACTGCATAATATTAACTCATTCATCCCCGAAATTTCGTAATGAACTATTCCAACCTTTGAATACGAAGAGTTCAAATGTGTCTCCAGGGGTGAATGAGTTAAGCCAGAATAGAAAAAAAAACGGAATCTGTTTAAATGTATATTCACAAGGAATCTCATTTAAACAACTTGCTTTGAATTACTGTAAGTTTCCCAGATTTTGCAGCATTATTTTTGTGGTTATCTGAAGCAATCAGAACTTATCTGGTATGTAGCATTGAATTTGCTGAGTGTTAAGTGTTCTTGAAACAGCATATTCACATTACCACAAAATTTGAATATGACCGCACAAATTATCCTGTATACAACAGTATTCATCGCTTTGAAAAAATCAGTGGTATGTTTTTCCAACAATTTTACTTTTAATCCTGACAGATAATACTTTTAATGGATAATGAAAGAAATAACCACCTTGTCAAAACCTATCAATGATCTCTTAAGTCACGTGGGACCAAGGTTTTGTCGCTGTGGTTATCTAGGAGTAGATTACGTAACATGTCTCACCTGGGTGTAACACTGAAACAGCCAGATGAACGAAGGAATGTAAGTCTGTTCTGCATAAAATATTTGCCTTTTATTTCTATCTCAAATATGCATGCGGTCAGATTTGGTTCATGTTAAAACAAGGTAATAAAAATATGTTCAAAGAGTGAGGCTTATCAATTAACTCGTGCATATAAATTAAGAAGGTTTTATTTTATAGTACTTGTTACTTAATGTTTTTTATTTTATTTCTTGTTTGTTCAAGGTTTGTTATTCAAAATGAATAACATGATGAAAATATAGGGTCTTATAGTAGACTGCAAATCTATTTTTGCATGCCTGTTATTTCTAGATCTGTTATGGCCAAGAGATAAAGCTTCTCTTTTCAAGTTACAACTAACTTAAGATTGAAAGAATGAGAAGCCTTTCTTTACTTTTTATAGAATTGCTTTAAATATCATATTTAAAGGAATCCAATTTTAGATGCTGGATTAAAAAGCAGAAACCAGAAACAACTGCTTTGTCAAGGATTCCCAGCTTGATAGAATAGTTTCTTATTGTAGGTATTTTATACAGATCTGGGTTTTTATGTAGACAAGTTTTGTATAGTATGCCTAAGTATCTTGATAATGATATTGGGTTTGGATATTTTTGTTGCAGTAAACGTTTCGTCAGATGTGTACATGTAGTATTGTGCTTGTCTAAGATTTTGTTTTGTACACTGATGCCTGCCTTATCTGTCATTGTGTGGTCTGGGTACTGTAAAACATACTATTTCGTGTGGTTCATAAGGATGACTTCAAGCTAGATCATAGTTTGGTAATTTGTTACTTTTAAAAGGAAAATTTAACTGATTATTCTTACAACAGAAATAAGACATGTTTTTATCAACTGGTATTAATCACTTTTGTTGACCAAGAGATCTAGAGTAGTGTGTGTGCAAGGGTCTTAATAAGGGAGGAAACAAGCTACAGAGTTCCCATACAGAAACACCTGTGTGTACCTTTTCAGGTCCAGTCAGGGAATTGAACCCTGGTTATCTTAGTGAAAGGTGAGTGTAAATGCGTGATCCTGCCAACCAAATTTACAACAAAAACATTTTTTTTTTTTTAACAAATCTTAATGGAATTGAAAATGTTGAAAGCTTCCAAAGTTACCTATAGTATGTTTACAGTGCATATGTGTGAAAGGGTGAAGGATGTTTTTAAAGGTACCAACTAAATATGGTGGATTTATATACCTTGGGTTATTGGAATATATTATTTATAGGTTCTCATAAGTAGTCAAGAATGTTTGTATATTTCATGTTTCTTGTTTTATTATTTGACTGATGATGGGTAAGGCAGGTTTCTCAGTTGGCTCGTTAAACAAATGTGTTTAAGATTTTTACTGTGAGCAAATGATCAATTTTTCCTGTTTTTGTAGTGTATGATGACTAACAGAGAAACTGCAGAAGGGAGCTACTGAGATATTCTGTAAATACAAAAAGTTGTCAATGTCTTGTACCTTAAAGTAATTATAGTTACTTTCACTCAGATGCCTCCTTCGCGATACTATCTGTGTCACTGTGGCCAAATAAACACTGGATACCTATAGAAAAGTACAATTTGATGGTAAGATACATCAAGGAAATACGTTTAGTGTCATTATGGTCAGATAAATACTGTTTGAATATACAATTGTTGGTTACGGTACTTCAGAGATGTACTTTTTGTGTCGCTCTGGCTAAATAAATACTATACCTGTATGAACGACAGGTAATGGTTACTTGGTCGGTACTTCAGAGATATACTTTTTGTGCCACTTAAGCCAAATGAACACTGCACCTGACAGGCATAAATCTACAATTCATGGTAGTCACTTTAGAGATACGTTTTGTGGGCACTGTGGCCAAATGAACACTGTGCACTTGACAGGCATCAATCTATAATTCATGGTAGTCACTTTAGAGATACGTTTTGTGGGCACTGTGACACAATAAACACTGTATACCTGACAGGCATCAATCTACAATTCATGGTAGTCACTTTAGGGATACGTTTTGTGGGCACTGTGGCCAAATGAACACTGTATACCTGACAGGCATAAATCTACCATTCATGGTAGTCTCTTTAGAGATACGTTTTGTGGGCACTGTGACCAAATGAACACTGTGCACCTGCATAAATGTGCAAGTGATGATTAGGTACTCCAGCGAATTAAGTAAACACAGGATACCTATGGTATTTTACTATTGGTGGTTAGATGTAAACACTGGATACCTGTATACTTATACAACTGCCTGTTAAGTAAAACAAACTTATTAGAATACTTCTATAGCGATCCTGCTGTTTTAAAAATATCCAAAGTTCTAGTCAATAAATCCGTTAGCCATATTTTTATACAGAAAGAAATAATTTTGTTTTGAATCCTTTTTAAACACTTTCCACCGAAAATTGTACATATTATTTCTTCTTTGTATCTTTAACTGTGCTTGTTGGTGATTTTAAAAATATATTACGCATAAAACAAAACGTAAGTCTGAAAAGTTACACTTCAGTTGATCTTATTGTGGAGACAATGGTATTGAAACGATTGTTAATACATTTTGATTGTAAGTTAGACGAACACTAAAAAAAAAATAACCATGATATGTAGAGTAATACAAAATATTTTAGGGTTTAAACCAACACTTGGTAAAAAGGGCAATCTCAGTGATGATGTAAATACGATATATTTGATTTAAACCCTTAGACTGTCTAATATTACTACATACATATTATCAGGGTAGGTCCAAACATACTGATTTACAAATTCTTGGGTCCCTGTGCTGAAGATTACACCACTTAATTCTTTCACATGGAGATAATCCTTTCATAAAATATCGCGCAATTCTTTACCACAAGTAGAAAATTGATGACTTCCTATCAAAACCTTTATGTGATATGTGATATTTGTTTTGTGTGCATTGGAACTTGTTGTGTATAATGACCTTCCTAAAATTCATTTGAGTGAGTATTGACTTGGGCCATAATTGTAGAATGGGGCCTCCGCCACTTATCTTTACCTAGAAACGTCCAATAAATAGTGTTGATCTACACGGTGACATAGAATGAGTTATATGTGTCCCGGATTAACAGAGTAATATAGAACATGTACTAT